ATTATCCTGTTTGGCTCTGCTGCATAGCCAGCCCGGCGTGGGTGGCTGAATTGGATGCAGAAGGAACAGCTCGTCTGCCACAATCAACTCAGTATCTGGCATGAATCCTATGGCTTGGGAAGTACCCATCCAGAACACTCAGTTCCTAGTTTATCTAGAAAAGTGCCCCTGATGGGAAAGGACACTGAGGAAGAGTCACCAAATAAAGATGCCGAGAGGCAGAATTCCTCAGTGCATTTATATTTAAACCGTGAAGGTTACAGGTGCTGTGTAACGCAGACAGCAATTGGAGTATATAATAAGGTATCCTGGCTAATCCTTCCTCCATTTTATCTAGCTACCACAGTAGAAGGATAATTTCAGCTTGGCACATCGTGGGTGAGATGGGAAACTTCCAGGAGACCTGCGCAGCTCAGCAAAATAAATCATGCTGTAGCCACCTGGGCATGAGCTGTGGATGTGGCAGCCATGGAGACGCAGCTCCAGAGAAATTCAGGTGGGAAGGCCTTAAATTCAGTCTCTAGATTCTGAAAGGAATGATTGTGGCTGAGAACTATACAACAGCAGTAATGCCAACCAGGAACAAGACAAACCCTTCAGAGCAGCCAAAGCAAAGTGGTCATCATCTTGTCCCACGATAGTCATAGAAACAGACTGAATGTGGCAATTTGTACAGGGTCCTTTGTAAGCAGCGCAACCCAAAAAGCTTCCTTTTCCTTACAAAGTTGCATTCAAAAGTGTGGGCAGGTATTAAAGCTGAAACATCTCCCCCACTTGAAATTCCCCATTTCAAGACACTTCTAACTAAGTATTAAACTAGAGCAGAAAGTCTATACACGAGACTTCTGACAAAACAATTTGACAATAAATTTGTCAGCATCCCATTTCCAAGTCTGGGAGCTGCCAGTGATAACATGCCCAATTCCCATTCTGAAACACAGCATTCAACTTGTTTTAGATTGTGGAACATGGAACCAAAGCCAATGCCATTCGGCTTTTCCATGATTTTAGTTCGATTTTTCATGCATGTCAGAACCAGTTGAAGTTTTATCCCCTGCTCATACAAGGAGCTGCCCATACTATTGAGTTTCCCCCAGATCATTAGATCTTAGGATCACATGGGGTCTATGTGCGCAAAGCAAACTCATTACTTGCTAAAGATAATGGCATAAGAGGAATTCAACCACTTTTTAAAATCTGAATCCTCAAACTTGTACAACGCTACATGAGTGTTTAGCCACT